GGAGGAGATGTCTCCTCCTCACTACGTCTGCAAAAGAGGACATAATAGGGAAATGACTAATTCGATCTACTACAGTAGGAGCATCGGCGGATTCGCCAAGCTCCTCCAGAGTTTGCATGAGTTGATGTCTATCACTTGTTGCCATTCGAATCAAAAGATTCTTACAGAGGTATTTATATCTAATAAACAGTGGAGGCTCTCTTGACTCGTATAGGACCACGTTTAAGGGGGTGGACCGCCTGTAACCCATTACCGCACGTAGCGAGCGAAACTGAATCTTATCAAGTTGCGTAGACATCTTCTCTGAAAGGTTCTGAAACAGAAACCCTCCGTATTCCAGTCTAGATCTAACCAGGGCTCGATACACCATCATGAGGATCCGAGGGTCGGCTCCCCACCATGTGTGGCCCACGCATTTGATTATTCGGAGAGGACATATACAGCGAAGCCTTGTGTAGTCCATATGCGCCGCCCAACCCAAATTAGACTGGAAGTTAATGCCCAGAAACTTAACTCGAGACGAATTAAATATCTCAGTATCTTGAATTCTAATAGAACATGCTCGCCTCCGATAAGTAATACTGTTCCCCTGTCTAACGGGAATTTTTAAACTGTTATCATTGCGGCTAAAGATACATAGCTTAGTTTTCTCAACCGATAGATCCAGATCGAGGCCGTCGAGTATTGTTATTGATTTCGCTGTAGCTCTTTCAATCGCACTCAATCCTTCCTCGAGGGGAGTAATCGACGAGAAGATACAAACGTCATCCGCATATTGGACTAACTTGCATTCCCGTGAGTTGGCAGAGTCCAGCTCCGCAACGTAAACAGAATAGAGTAGAGGGCTCAGGACACTGCCCTGAGGAAGGCTCTTGTAAAGCCAGAAGACCTCCTCCATCTCACCATATCGACAGAACACCTGACGAGCGGAAACCAGATTATACACAAAACTGCAAGTTTTGGGTGGAACACCCATTTTTACTAGCTTCTGTATCAAAACGTCGGCTAAAACATTATCGTATGCCGCATGGATGTCAAAAAACACAGCCGACACTGCTGAGTCATTCTGGAAGCCGCCCAAAATATCCGTATAAAGGATAGACAGGTTGTCCATACATGACCTATTCCTCCGGA